TCAAAAATTCTATCTTTTTAGGCACATTAAAATGTTAGTTCGTTAAACAGGTACTAATTTTAATTGAAGCAAATTTCATGTTTGAAACTGACATTTTCGAACGAAATTTTGCGATTTTAAAAGTCTAGATAATCGAAAAGGATATTATATCGCTTAAAATATTTCGAATATATACGAACAAACAGTATCACAGTGACGACATGCATATTACATATAAGATCAATTAATTAGTAATTCCTTTTATACGTATTCCCACTATTAATTTACAAAATTTTCGTCTGAATTTTAAATTGCAGTTAACTACTATTATATCATCGAACTTTTGTAAAAATGTTCACATGATCATTTTGACAAATGCACATGAACTGAATAATCCCCTACTTTCAAGCAATTTAAGGCACGTGGCGAATAATTCTTAAGAAATCATTTTCGTTAAATTAAATAAATATTTCAAAGCGAATCTCTTCCAAAGTTGAAAGAAATGAAATTTCCTAACTAATATATTACAAATCTTTTTCTATCACGTTTAGAAACAAATGCAAATGTACAAGCGTTTTTTTTCTTTGCACTATCATTGTAACAGATTAAACTGTAATCAACAATTAAAACGATAAACTTAAAAAAATCTCGAACTTCCGTAATAGAACTCGTTATTAGAATATTAGTACGTCTGGCGTATATCCGTTCTTTACGAAACAATTAGATTCTTCTTCGTTTCTTTCTTTGACGTACATCCAGTTAACAAACTTTCGCGATTCTTATCGCACCAACCAGAAACGATCGAGTTCAATGCTTTTTCATGTGATTCAGCATGATCGTTCTGGTAACGAATCCTTTGCCACATAATGTGCACGTATAAGGACGTTCTCCGGTGTGGTATCGCCGATGAACGGTAAGCGTGGATGCTTGTGTAAACGACTTCCCACACATGGCACAAAGATACGGCCTCTCTCCCGTGTGAATACGTTGATGCACCACGTAATACTTGCGATGTGTGAAACCTTTGCCACATACGTCGCACACGAGCGGCCTGGACCTATGTACAGCTTTATGGGTAGTCAACGACTCGATGCTCGCGAATTGCTTCGAGCACGAGTCGCACGGATACGAGACTACCGTCGATTTGTTCGACGACGCCACGGTACCGCTAATACTGCTAGTGACCGGATCACCGGAAGACATTACGGTGTCGGCTATTCGATCGTTCCCGGCGAGGATCGGCTTGTGAGTTTTCGCGTGATGATTGTACAAATTTCGCGTCTCGAAACGCATCAGGCATCTAGGGCAGGAGTATGGCTTTTCTTGGCCGATCTCGTGCATTCTCCTGTGTCGCTCGAGGAGTGTACGATACCGAAAGCTCGCTTGGCAACGATCGCAGGCGAATGTCTTCTCGACGTTCATCGACGTTGACATCGTCGGGATCGGTGGGCAGGAGGTAGCTGCCGGTGCGGAATGCGTCACTTCGTGCATCCTCAAGTGACTCAGAGCGAAAAAACTCCGCGAACAAATGGCGCACGAATATCTCACCGGGTTCTCTATGTTGTGATCGAACTCTGGCAATGCCGGATGACTCGTTCTTATATGGTAATTCAGTTTCAGAGCGCTTCGAAACTCGAGGCCACAGGTGGGACACGGATAGGACTCGGTGACGATCTGCACATGATCCAAGAGAATCTGATCGGTACAAATGGACGGCAAGTGGGATGGGATGGTTTGATACGTTGGGGACATCATCGACGACTGATTGGAGAACATAGAGTTGTTCTGAAGCAAAGTACAAGTGACTGGTAAACCGGTATCTCCCGTCTCGGGCGATGGCGAAAGTATTTGACGTAGCATCCCCGACAATCCACCGAATGTCTCGCTTCCTTCCCTGAAATCGACAAAACCCAAGGACAATGCAGCGGCGAAGAGTACCATACGATACACATTCAGGCATTGTCTTTGATTCGTTCCTGTGATTTTGCTTTCTCTCTTGCAACGGCAAGGCGGTGAGAAAAGATAGAAAAGCAGAGAAATAGAGAATTCACGCTGCGTGATTAATTCTGCAATAGTGACCGTGCAAAGTGCTTGGGCATTGTGGTTTTCTCTCTCAAGACACACAGCAATAAAGAGTGTGCGACGAGAGCGTAAGTGCAAATCGAGCTTAGAGAGTTTTGTGTCGTCATCGTTCTCCGTCTAACATCTTCACGATCTTCTTTGTTCATAGAAGGAATATTATATGTTATAAGAATATATTATATTCCTTAAATAAGAGAACAGTCGTTTCAGAAGATCGTAAAGATATCGTTGTCCATACTTATTTTCACTTTACCTTTGAAGTTTATTAGATATGGTTGTCTTCTACTATTTCTACACACATAAGTAAGCTGTTAAATAAGAATGTTATGTTTCGTACTATTTATTATTTTATTTGTTATTTAAATGAATTAGTGACGAGTCTAATTAAAAAAGAAGAAAACGTTCGCGTGTTTTAATTCTACCTTAAACCATCTTCCCGCCTTTCCATATCTCTAGACTCATAATGAAGTAATTGGCATAAATCGAGAAGGAAATTAAAGGTTTCTACAGCAAACCAGCAGAAGAAAAAAGTTAAGCTACAAACCTTGGCAAAAAAGTTAGAAGGAAGCAATACCTTGCTAAAAAAAAGTCATTATCTTTACCATAAGACATAGTATTTTGTAGAATCAAATTAATGTAATATTAAATGAAAATTGGATCCTCACCTTTATGTCGATTATTCAACGTCCAACGCATTATCTTCTTATCTTCTTTCACCACAGATTTATAATAACATTCTTTATTTAAAAAATTCACTCACGTCATAACATACAAATGTTAAAAATGTTTAAAAGTACAAATAAATTATGATATAATATAAAATATAAAATATAGTAAATGCAATAATAATCTTAAATGGTAACAGGGAATGTTTCAAATCCCACAATTACTGTGTCTTCAAATCGCGATTGGTAGCCGTGACATATATTGCGCAAATATAACATTTATATGCATCCGTATCACTTTTTTGTGTACTAATGCAAATGTACTGCGCAAGAAATAAATATGTAGAATGAATTAAAAGAATTGCTTTCTCACCGGCGCGTGAACGCAGCCTGGTTTTATATAAGCATTAAAAAATACGAAACAATTTTGTAAAAAAAAAAAGAAAGAAAAAGAAAAAAAAGTTTCGATTGCTTTTTTTTCTGAATAGAATCAGAAACAAAGTAACTCCGCGACACAATAGTGCGCGATTAAAATTTGTATTATCGAAGCGCAGCGAATTTTCAGCAAAGAATGTACTGAAGCGCGCGCTGAAAAGCTCCAAAGAATAAAATCACGAATTTCTTTGGAAATATCGCGCCAATGAAAAAGAAAAGCAATACAGTTTATATAAATTATATCAATCTACTGTTAAATAAGAGTTTCAAAATGTACAAAAACTTGATACTCGCCTTAAATAAAATTTCGTCTGAGATCCTCTTCATGTTTCTTAACGCGATGATTATTCTTCGATTGTTCGTCACATCTTGATTGATTACTATTCTAGTTGATTAATTTTCGTTCGTTTTATAAACTTATTTTCGATCGTGAAACACTCGATTACTTTGAACCGGTATCTAATATGAATACCAGCCACAAATGGTATTGATTGAAACCGAACTCGTGGCACGGTTTATCAGCGGGTTTTGTGCGCAATTAACAGAACGATAGCACTTACAGACTAACCGATATGCTAAATGTAACTATGTGGTCCTGACGATATTGTAAAAGCGTATAGGCATTGGAAAGCACGAAGACGACAAGAAACGGTATTTGATTCTCTTTTCTTTCTCTCCTTCACTCACTCATTCACTCTCTCTCTCTCTCTCTTTCTCTTTCTCTCACTCTCTCACTTTTTCTCTTTTTACTAATCATAACGGCTTGGTGACACTTTTGTTATACACCAAGCGTCTATTATATCGTGACGTTTACGAAATATTAGTTTGTGACTTTTGGTCGGCCTATTGTTAGCCGTGTGCGGCATTTTGTGCCTTCACGTAAGCGTGGGATATTGATACTGACAACATGTAAACATCTGATTCTCAATTGAACAGAGGAATTAAATACCTGTGCTATACAACACCGATTCACTTACATACACATGTTAAAAAACAGATCGTACAGATGTTAATAAATTGAATACATAATTAGTAAAATCCCTCTGTCCATTTATTGTACATGTATCAATAATAACTATGATAGAGTTCATTTAAATAGGAAAATTGCAAAGGAGTTGATACATCTAAATATCGTATATAAAAATCTCAAATGTTATGTACTTGTCATTCTTATTGAAATGAACTCTATGTACATGCTATCACATGTAAAAATATTCAGATATTTTGCAATTTGTTTTTCAAAGTGAATTTTCATGAAAAATGATAAATAATTTTATTTAAGCATGACTGTGTTTTACATAAAATTAAACAGATTTATGGAAATGAAATACTAAACAAATTTTTCAAATATTGCAAATTGCAAAATACAGAGAGCCAAAGATGGTTGTGGGGTGTGTATTAACTTACCTTACCATTCCGTTGCACCTTATTCATTTGAATCAGGTGACTAACTCGTGCATCTTATCTCAAGATCAAAAATTAAAACAGATTATGTGCTACTGCAATAAGAATAAAAAAAAGGTGCGAACTTATTATTTAAAATATCATATACAATAAAAAATGATTAATTTGAAAATATTAGATATTGTTTAGATAATAACATTTAACTTTTAAATATAAAAAAGAAAAGTTTAAAAATAATATTCTACGAAATATTATAAACGTAGATTTGTTTCTAATAGAAGTCATTGTATCAAAACTTAAGTAATTTAGTTCAAGTCATACCGGTTCAAAATTTGTTAAAAAGAAGAATCATAATAATGTCTGTGTACATGTTTGTGATTTCCACAACAAAACATCTTTGGCCCTTAGAATCTAAAGTATGGATAAAAGACTCACCCAGATTTCGGATCCCCATCAGTTGGCTGTGGAATTGGTATTTCAGGCATGTCTGACATTTTCTGTTGTTGTAGTCCTGATGGACCTGCTTCATCACATGCCAGGGAAACATTTACAAAAGTTGTAGGCTCTATAGTTCTATTGCTGGGATCTTCCTCACTTTCTTCTTTCACAGGTAGGCCTAACAAAAAAATAAAAAATCCATATATTAATATCCTTATTTCTTTCATGTACAGACTTAAAATTAAAGAATAAAGGAAAAAAGAAGAAACAAAAATTTTTTATTGTAAAATCTACCTTCATCTCCATCGCAATCTTCATCCGAATTTTCATCATCTTCACTACTTTCATCCTCATCTTCTTGCTGTGCAGAGGTTGTCTGATTCTGTGGTATTTGATTATGTGTGCTTTGTGAACTTGGACCAGGCACTGCCTGAACAGTTTGTACATTATTACTGTTTGTGTCCATAGGAACTGAGGTGATTTGTTGATTAGCATTGGATATTATCATAGGAATACCCAAACCCATGTTATCCATCATACCCATCCCCATATTGTTTTGATGCTCGCTCACTTGCTGCATCACATTGCCATCTAACCTGTTCTCTGAATTCTGTTCTTGTTTCATTACATTCTGCAATTAAATACAATAAGCAATATTTATTTGTTATTCTCAAATATTTTATATAAAAAAGTAAAAATTTTTATAACTACCAAAATATACGAAATATAACCTTAAAATGTTTAACCATAACTTCAAAGTCAAAATTACTAATGCTTATCTTAAATAAATTCTAAATAATAATAAAATTTAATAAATCAACCCATTGCAAAACTTACAAAAGTGGAATTTAAAATATTTTTATCACTAACTAGTAATAGTAACTAAGGTAAACATGGAACTGAATGTCAAAAAAATAAAAGAATATCTATGCTTCTAGATTTTGTTATGCACTGAATATACAAATTAATGTACTTTTCATAAAAAGAAAATTACCGGATTTAGAACATTGGTAACATAACCCTGTTTGTCTTCTAAACTGACTTCTCCCAGCCATTGTAATAGTTGTTTCTCTGCGTTTGCAGTTGTATTCCAAAACTGATAAAATAATTCTACTTTATACACGCAATCATCGCATATTTTTTTGGGTAACTTATCTTCTCTTGCAACCTGCAATCATATATAAAACAAAATAATTTATAACAAATTTTATATTTACATAATAAAACTATTTTCCTACAACTAATTTAATATTCTAATGCAAATGGCATGAATCAGAAGTTATAAAAGAAATTAATAATCATAATAACAAGAAATTTAAAACATTTGTCAAATATTTAAAAAATTCATCAATTTCAAAAATTTTAATTTCATTTAAATATACAAAAAATATTCAATCAAAATATATTCTAAATAAACCAAAATTCTTAACGCAAAATTCACAAATAAAAAATTACAATACTAAATATAAGACTTAAATAAATCAATTTTTTTTCACACAAAAGCAGTTTTTAAATATTACGCCGTTACATTGAAAACATAACTTACAAAAAAACACAAATAGTCAATTATAGATACTTTGCAATAGAAACAATGGTATCGAAAACAAGATGTCGAAAAGGGCTGTACGTAGTTACCGTAAATAGAGAAATAGCCGCAAATTGCCGGCGTCGAACGAAAATATCGACGGGCTGTTACTCGAACAATGATGAAAAAATTTGGGTAGATCCGCAATACATTAAGGCAGAGAAGAAAGCGCGGCAAAATTCTATTGAATAATTCCTGGCGTCTTGGATGAGTAAGTGAGATTGGATAGAAATGATAAATAGGTGCAATGCCAGTAATATGGCTATATGGACAACGGTTGCCTGAGGCTGTTTGCAATTTCTCGTCTATAGGGCGATCTCTAAAACAATAGGGAGCAAATGCATCTACTGGGAGGTTGAAAAGTCGTGGACGTCGAGGAAATGCGGTGTATCTATGAAAATGCACAAGATGGCGGATCGCCATTGTCGAAGCGATGGCGTAGTTGGCTTACCTTGACCGGTAGGCAGGCTGCGATCTTGAGAAATATTTGTCGTACATCACCTTCACCCTCGAAAATCGGCACCGAAACACGATCCTTCACAAGACATAATCGACACAGGTCCAGATAGTCGAGGGAGGACATTTTATCGTATACAACGCCAGCTCGAGACGCAAAACCGCGCCCGTAGACGCGAACGCTGTTTCAATCCAAGCCGGAGAAGACCCCGCGTTCTTCGGTACGCGTCGTTTGCTCACTGTAACTCGCCTAACTTCGGCCTTGTTCGGTTATCCTCGACTCGCTCGGAGAACTTCGGCAGTGTTCGGCACGACGATTCCGTATCGATTACGCCGCGCTAGAAGCCAACAGCTTTTACACACGACAGTTTCGAACGTTGCAGAGATTTCCTTCTTCCAAATTCATCATTATTTAATATGGATGGACTTCACTGTCGCCATGAATTCATTGCCAAACCAGAAAAACTGAAAATTTCACGGTACTTACATTATGTTTTTTTAATTAACTTTATTTCTCGATAAAATCTTTATTGTCACACGAATCCAATCGCAAGATGGCCACAATTTTGCCAATTTTATGATCATTCTAAATAATGAATATAGCGCGCACCAAGTGTTGCGTATGCTAGACTTGCCTTTGATATCTATCTGATTGATCGTCCAGGTGTTTAAGAGGTCGGCCAAGTTAATGCAAACCTATCAAATTTTCATGCACAATTACTCCCACTTCTACGCGCGGATACATCACGCATGATCAGAGTACAGTTGTCGATGTACAATAAGAATAAATCGAAGCTTTATAAAGAATATATTGAAACTCATTTTTAGTGATATCAAAGTTATACTGAAACTTTAAGTTCAGTTAACTTAAGTTGTTAATTCTTCCAAAAGTAAAGTGTTTTTCGTATCTTTTGGAATAAGATTTTTTGTACGTATTATTCGAGCATCCGGCAATGGTCACGTGACTCATTCGGAAATAGAAAACGATTATTTATACAAAATTAAATTACTTTTTAAACTGTACGAGAGACGAATTTACAAATAGGAAAATATTTGAATTAGGCACGAATTTGAAATTAATTTTTGAAACTAGAATTTGAAAAATTCAGACTTTGCAAAATTTCGAAACTTGAAACTCTTGAAAACTCAAAATTTTTAAAACTTGAAACTTTCGAAACTCAAAAATTTTGAGAGTTTAAAACTCTCAAAACTTCTGAAACTCACATTCAATGAATTCAAGATACACTTGAATCAAATATTCTTTATTGCAAGTGACTTTTTATTCATTGTTCTTATATTTTTCGAGATTTTCAAATCACGAAAAAAGTACAAATTTTCGAATTCTCGAAATTCGAAACTCTTCTGTTTTAAGGAGTTTTGATGTTTCGAGTAACTCATCCCTAATTTAAATATATTAACTTTGTTAGTCATACAATGAAATTTCTTATTTTTAAAAAGTATATTAGCAACAATAATTATAGATGTTTAAATGGAAATGAAAACTACATAATGTGTGTCATTATATAAGCTCTTGATTAAAAGAAAGAAAATAGATTTTTAAATTTATTAATATTAACTTTTGGAAAATATTGGAAATTTTTGAAATATTAGAAAATATTAAAACTTTTAGAACTCGAAAAATATAGGAAAATTAAGTAAATGTGTAACTTTTATATCTTCGATAGATATTTAAATTTCATCAAGTCAGATTCTCAATGTCAGTAAATAAAAGAGACACACGTATTCATGCAAAGAATAACAGGGACGGTACAGTGCTGCCACGTTTCCATGACGTTGAAATTGTGTAACTTACTCTCACGCTCTTAAAGATATCAATGACCTGCCTTGTCTTCTTCATTGGTTGAGTGAACTTTGCTATATATGACAACTTGATTTAAATCGTAGCTTACTTTCTGAACTCTTTATCGCTTTCAATCCGTTTCTCTGATGAAATATCTTTGTAATCTTCATCGCAAAAACTCTTTGAATTAAACGAATATCTAGCATCATATTCTTATATTATATTTATGCATTTAATTAAAAATATACTTTTAGTTATTTCTTTAGTTATTTTAATTGACAAAACTGATACATAATACATCATTAATTATGTGACGATTCTTTTCATGTCACCTTATTTTATTTTGTTCATATTTTAATATAACAAGGTAATAAAGTATTTGGGTACATTGGGAGAAAAATGATGGCATTCATTTTAGATAAAAAAAACTGCTTTATTGTGGCAGAGCACATGTATTATCATATACCAGCATATAATTAGGAAGTCCATAGTAATTTACAAATTACGATCCACTTAAACGTCGGTACACGTGGCGGTGTATGCAGGCAGATTTGGGAACCGATTTCGATCACACACATGCTGTTACCATGTTTATTTTCTTCTTATTTTCGTCTCTTCAATCGTTCAGTTTTCTTATTATTTCGTTTAACATTAATTTTTTTCTTTCGATACTTTTTTTTTCTTTTATTTTATCGAATGGGGAAAGGGAAGGAGGGGGGATCTTCTAAAGATCCTTGCAACGACGGTGCATTATTTATAATACATGAAAACGAGGGATATGTGGTCTTCTTCCGTTCGATTTTTTTTTTTCGAGAAAATTGTACCCGTACAAGCCATTAGGATTTCTATTTTCGTAATCTCTCTTTTCTCTTTCGATGAGGACCTTGTTTCGCATCTTAGAAGTAAAATCGTGATTATCGCAAGTGACAGTACTTCCAGATATTTTTTTTCTTCTTCTTCTTCACAATAAATTTCTTTTTTTATTTCATTAATTTTAAGAAAGAATGAAAACCGAAGTGAAAGCCTTGGAGATATCTGCATAGTAATTAGATATTTCTTCGGAACACGATTCAATCTGAAGAAAGCTTTCGTCAATCCTCCTATTATTATGTACACGTTAAAGAGTTTTGAGCTTAAAGTCGAAATTTGTTTTTTATTGTTTTTCTTAGTAGAATTGATTCTCTTCCTCGAATTGTCAGTACCTTTAACAAAATTTCTCGCTCGTTATATATACAATACAAATCTGAAGAAGGAATTAAGAATTCCTTTTGAAGGACACAGGTGAAATCAATGTTCTTAATGATGCCAAACTATTATATTAGGTATTAATTTGCGAATAGATAGACGCATCTATGTATTAGATATGAAGTTTGTTACTAATAAGTTTCCTTGGTGAAACGATTTGAAAAATGAATAAAGTCGTAGTTGAAAGTTTAATAGGAGGACTCATTGTCAAAACAACCTCGAAAGTGCAACACGTCAAATTTTGTTGTTCCTTTTCTTGCTCTTGCGTTCACTTTTTTCTTTTTTTCTTCTCCTTTTTTTTTTCTTATTCGACTTTTTTTTTCTTTCGCAGCTTGTAGTCTGCGTCGTCAATGAAACCGCAATAAAACTGTATTATTTCGATGCTCATATATAGTTAATTAATTAGTTGTTAATTAATTTGTTAAATTCGTAACTATTTTACTTACTCTTTATGCTATAACAATAATAGCAAAAATTGCGTGAATGTGTGTCTAAATTTTTCTCGTTTAATCTCATTACCTCTCCGAGTTGTCGTAATGTAAATTTACAGCTATTACAAATATTATTGTTTATATTCGTGTAAGGTAACATTAATGGTAATCATCGTGTTCGTTATCTACTAATATAAAGTTAAAAATGCGGGAAGTTGAAATTTTCGCGGTCACACCGCAGAATATATTCGTGTATATCATACGTACTTACATGCATTCCAAAGTTCGAGTTTATCGCTCGCGTTAAATTGAAATTAATAGAACATGTTATCGCTAGCTACGATCGTAAAATCGTCTGCAATCGACAAATGCAAACGAATAAAATTTATTCCTATATAAAATATTAGCGTAACGGCTATGAAACTCAAGCTTGTTTTGAATCTCTATATTTTATATTTCATGAATTTTATATAGAACGAGATGAAAGTGGCGCATAATATTGTAACCAACACAAGTTAATTATTCGAACGCTAAACATAACACGTCCTCTTAATTTCAATTTTTATTCCCAAATTTCAAATGCCAATTAATGGTTCGTTAAATTTTTAAGCCAATCAACGTATTCAACACGTTAATTCAACCGATTCGAATCGTCGAATGTGGGGAACAAGCGGGATGAAAATTCTTGCGCCTCCTCACACCTTCTTACGATGGTGTCTGTTAATCGATAAGTTTTAAATCGTTCGTACTTTTCGTCTCTTATCGAATCTCGAGTAATACGAATTTCTTCAAATTTTTAATCGATTCAATTCTGTAAGAAGTGCAAATGATAAGTAACCTTCGCGAACGTCGTTATGTATCGAAAGACATCAGGCACCATGCAAAAATTTCTCATCCGCTTTTCTCTCTCTATTAAGGATCAGAACGACTGATGATTTCTTAAACTTCACTTTTTTTTTGGTGTTTTGTTCTTTTTTTTTTTCTTGTTGGTTAAGTCTTAACGTCATCTCGCTTATCCAGCAATACTGGGACTAATTAAGCTAGCGTTGGTCGAAGATCGTTGACAATTTATGCATATTTAATACATTTCACACCATATCGATATAAGACCTCGGTTTTTTCTCTCTCTCTTTTTTTTTTAACAAGCTAAAATGATCAAACATCGATGGGAGAAAGATGATAGAAAAACGCAATGTTCTATCGCGATCGAATGAATGAAGCATATAATCTGACTTTGAACGGTATAATCTTCTTTCCGCGTCGGCTATGCATCTCCTAAGTTTCGATATACTTTAACGATTTATAGTATGAGCTACCATTTGAAAAATTCTTCTTTTAAAATTAATCGTTAATATATAGTTCTCTCTTCTTAAACGAGGTGCCGGATATAGGTATGTTGTATGCAAGACATCGTTTACATTAGTAAAATTTCATCAGTTTGCAGTTACTCGTATCCGTTAGTCTCTACCAGTGAAAGCGCTTTGCTTTTCTTGTTCTTGAGTAGGATACCAAATGAACAAAGATCGTAAACGTATAAATTCGTAAGCGACTGTTCACATAGAAAAGAATAATCGATAAATAAGGAATGTTCCATGATGAAGAGAAACTTTCGTGACGAGTTTGTCAATTATCGGCGAATTCTCTTTATTTTTATGGCCAATTGGACAATGTACTGAAATTGTACATTGTACACATTCTTATACGTTGTATTAATTAGTATTGAAGGTTTTGCAGTAAGATCGAGCGATAATCTTAAAAAAAACGGCGTATGACGAATAGTAGATTGAATAGTAGTCTAAGAACGTTTATGTACTACTTATTTTTCTGATTATTCGTTATGATTAGTACGATTAGGCGTACAAATTAAGAAAAAAAAAAAACGCTTTCTGAAAACTCTTCAAACATCTTGAAAATTTAAAACGATGCTATTACAGATCGTATGCTACAAATTATGATCTGTCTTTAATGAAAATAGAGCTCGTTATTCATTGATGTCGAGATACATTCCTTTACTTGTCGTTTGGCGATACATTTTACCAAAGTAATACAAGGATTTGAACATGCGTAAGAAAAACAATGGCACTTTAATATAATTCGTGATACTTTGAGCTTGCATCTTGCGAGAACATTTTTCTTTTTTCGTATAAACAAGCTCTTTTCTCACGCGACTGTCTTTCATCGATGTCTGTCTATTAACGACAAACGGAATTTATTTTTCTATCGCTTTCGTGTCGTTTCATTACTTTTTAATCAATTAATCTTCGAATTACTCTTTTTTTTTTTTCTTTTTTCAACATTCTAACTGCTCTCGTTATGATCGTCGCCAGTTGAGACTCGAAACAGACAGAGATATGCAATGTTACTCATCAATTTAGTGACAAACTGTCTATCGATAAACGAAAATGTTTTCTGCACATAAGCGTTTCCATCGTGTATCGTAAACGCTAACTCTCACAACGCTAAAAGAACAACGATAAAGACGAAACGAATATTTCTGTGATTTCTTGCTACAGACTTGAAAGTGTTATAGGATTAATACAAGCTCATTTATTTGTTACGGAATCTTGCTATAAATATAAAGTATTATATGAAAGTCTATATAATCCTTGTATTATCTTAACACGCTATAACGTCCATTTGAGAATAAAAAAATGTATATCAGATTATTAGAAACTTTATTCTCACAGGGGGAATAATTTCATTTTTAACGTTAATATAATAAATCTCTAATTTAATGATAAATGGATGGAAAAGGGGAGCGGGGAGCATGTGAATGACCTCTTGGACTCGGGGGCAAAAGGGAGAAGGATTTGTAATTAGAAATTCGTAATTTTGAGAAAAGGCTACCGTCCTTTACTGCTAGTTAGGTATATAAACGATCAAAAAAATCATTTTTATTCGGTTCGGAGGAGCTTACAAAATGAAATCCTCCTCGATCGAAAGAATATGAAATGCGATTTCAATCGATAAGAGATTCCTCGAATTCGTTTCCATATGATGCTCACATGTTCGCGTTCGCTCCGTTAAATGAGTCATGCAAATTCTCATTCCAATCGACACGATCGTTGTTTGTTCCTACCCTAATATGTTACAAATTGGAATTCGTTTGTTCGTTCGTTCGAACACACGGTGAGTGTATCGTGATTCGTCCAATTTTTTTTTTCTTTTTTTTTTCTTTTGTTCCTTGTCACCTCTCTTAACAGAATTTTTATCAATAGGTTTTTGGTAAATGCAATACGATCGAATGAAACGTTCGGTAATTACGATTGATTCGTCGAGTCGCGAGTACTTCCGGTTACGTGGTCAACGACGCTTTCAGCTTCGATTGCCATTCATTGTTTTCGTCAACGCTTAAACCTTGCAAACACCATGTGAATTACGATGCTGACTGTCAGTACAATCGAACTATGTCGACTCGAAAGGATACGTCGGATAGGATCGAAAATGTGTAATCACATTTTCAATCCACCTGTCGCAAGATGGCGTGATTTCTCTACGAACTTTTACAGTGATCCGTGAACTTCTATTCGATATAGCACGTTTGCGGCTTTCTTAGAAATGAAATGTTCTCACGTGCACATATATTTATTCTTATGGCATTTTATAAGGATTTGACGACAAATCTAGCATGAAGTTAAGGGTTGACGAAGAACTCACGTCGACACGTAACGAAAGTGACGCGATGCGGTAAACGAAAGGAACGGGAGAAACGAAATGGATTACAAATGAAAATTAAAAAAAGGTCTTGGTTTTTTGAAAAGTGTCTGTCGCATTGGGTTCCTGATTTTTCTTTTTTTCTTTCTTTTCTTTTTTGCCGGCCGTTTCAAAATTCACTCGGGGAAGACCGAGCGAGGGCAAAACGAAGTTTCACTACTTACGCTACGCGTGTATGTGTGTGTGCAATCCAGTGTGTACGCCTTAAAAATACTCGAATACGTTCTACTTGTCGATAAAAGGCAAGAGAATTGTTCCGCTCGTGTTCGACTATAGTATGACGCGTTTATCTATTCGGAAATACGTGCTTCGTGTCTCGATGGATTGACTTTTTGTAGGTAAACTGTAACCAATAAAGATCAAGGGACGATATTTAATTCTCCTGTTCTACAGCTTTTGGATTGGTTATCTTCGTTAGATAATATGTGTGTATGTGTGTGCGTGTCTGTATATATATGTATGTCTGTACGTACGTACGTATGTATGTATGTATGTGTGTATGTATGTATGTACGTACGTATTTATGTATGTGTTGCATGTGTGTATGTATACATGTATATTTTTTTAAAATTTATTTTGGTTTAAATTTAATTTCCTCCCGATCGAACGTCCGTGCGTGACGAGATCTACTGTAGCTAGAGTTCTACGTAGTTTACGGCCACGATCATTCAACGATCTGGATCATCATTTTAATTAAACGTAGTTTAATTAAACGGTAGTTTAAATGGAAAATCGAGAATGGGATTTCGGTCATGTACCCGCGCACTCACATGATAAATAATATAATGTTATCTCGCAAGTATGTACTTATACACATCGTAAGATCGAAACGCCTTAATTCCGTACACCTAGATCCGTACGTGTAATATCTATAGTTCATTATATACAAATTGTAAAATGCTTTCTTAATGAAAAAAGTCGTGTTTATCTTGTGTATATGTCTTTTGGTGTGTATATATTTTGTTTATAATATATATTTCTCTCTTTCTTCCTTGTAGCAGTGTGAACGCAGATATATATAGTTTCTTCTTTCTTCTCTTCTCTCTCTTTCTCACCTTCTTTCACGTGTTTATTTCTTCTTTTTTTGTTCGTTTCTTTTTTTTTTTTTTNTTTTTTTTTTTTTTTTTTTTTTTTTTTTTTTTTTTTTTTTTTTTTTTTTTTTTTTTTTTTTTTTTTTTTTTGGTTTTTTGGTTTGTTTGTTAATGCTTCTTGGCTACGGAACACATGATCACTCGCACACCCCCTTATTTTCTTTTTTTTTTTTTTCTTTGTACATGCACAACACTTGCTTCTGAGAGTCAATTCGCCGCCCGATCGCATAAATGACGAGATTCTGTCTTGTTTCCCTTCGTATCGAGACAATTCAATGGAAGAACTTTGCGTCGCCTTTTACAGCACACGAAATATCAGCTCGCCAGCGAATTTGCGAGAAGAATGTCCGATCTTTAAAATATTGGAAGAGCATAGGAAGCACTTGAATTCCACCCTCGAATATACTTAGCTTACAATTTTTCAAAATAAATTTTTATTCAGTTACTGATTCTTCGAAATTACTGTTGGAGGTTTCAAGGAAAAAGTTCATTTCATGAAATCGCCAATTTTTTACTTTCTTACATTACGCATTTCGATATTGTTAATGGAGTTTTTTCCATTCATTGAAAGACGTTTGACTAGAATTTCGTCATTCCTGCGGTAATTTCGCAATAACCATACCATCCCATATCTCAATAATTCGAAGAGAAAATTAAAACTTCGAGTAGACGTTTTATTTTATTTTATATTTCCGATCAATGAATACTTTCCTAAGATTCAACGTGCAGTTTCTCTTTACTCTACGTAAAATTAACTAAACGTTAATATCACATTGCTCGAACTCAAAATGTATTATCTAACAATCATCTGCTTATCACTTTTAATTCAAATATTAGATTTATTTTATTCAGATTAATTCAAATATTGCACATTTTCGTTGAATTGAAAGAAATACATTTCTCGACAAGACTACGTTCAATTCCAATCGCCCTCTCCATCGACAATCATTTATTTCCATTCTTATTTTTCATGAGACCCCGTCAATGACGACAAGTTGAATACTCGTGACTCTGGAGATTTAAAACTTAGCCAAGCAACATGAATAATTGCCTACTATTCGAATCACGCGACTTACATTCAACATCTACGACCTCTCCAACCCGATGAAACGCAATTCAACAACTCAAAACAACTCAACCCTTCCCGCTAATGGTATGGTTACTAACGACTGTTTCATAACGGAGAGGCGGCGAGATCGATCCCCCTAGGATTAAATTCGTTGAAGCGGTCGTCGCCAGCAAAAGCTCTTTCTCTCTTTCAGTATCATCCTCCTCCGTACGATCAGTCCCTCGTCCGACGTTGCACGCCGAGGGAAAGAGCCTCAAACGGACACCCGTCGCGGCAGTTGTTGCTCTGATAACATACTGACGGCGGTCGACGGTCGTCAGATGCTGGCTCGATGTTGATGCAACGGCGGCAGTTGCAACAACGGCGTCAACGGAGGCGGGCGTAGCTCACTGCTGCGCGCGTTCAACGTCGGCAGCTGCTGCATCGGCAGCAGGTGCGAGATCTTACCGGGCGAGCGGCGAACCGTGAACCGCGGTCTCCGTCGTTTCTTCTGGAATCCACTGCAGCAGCAGCTGCAGACCGACGTCTCGTCGTCCAGCGATATCGTCTCACCGTGGTTGCCTACTTGGCCCGACAGTATCGAGCCGTTCGCCGTTATTACGTCGCCCTCCAGGCGCACTGCTCCTTGCGCAGCCTGCGTCATAACAATTTTCTTTTTTTTTCTGTCTCTCTCTCTCTCTCTCTCACTCTCACTCTCTCACTCTCTCACTCTCTTTTCGCGTTTCTGTCATCCGGAATCGTTATGCAGCGAACACGTTCGCCCGTTGCTTTAGCTGGTACATTACCGTCGGAACGTGTTCGCGCGAATTTCCACTGGGTCAGAGGCTTGATTTACGGGGAATGGGGAAGAGGTTGAGAGATCGTGGAACGGAGGTTTTGTTGGAAGCTTTTCTTGTATTGATTCGGCTAGGTGGCTGGCGGTTCAGGGTAACGCGGTAACTGGACACCAACCCTTCACGGTCCGGCGTCACGTGTCGCCGCTAGAACGCTGTGTATTGTTCGGTCAATCGGAAAGCTCGTAGATTTTGATAAAATTCTATTGACAATGAATTATGCTCTAATTGCGTCTAACTGTGTCATTGTTGTTTCACTGCTGTTTCCTCAAATGTCCAGGCTCAAAAGACAAGTCTGTCTCGTACTTTGTCGCACAGCGTTCCAGCGTTTGATAAATTCTCACTCCAGAGACGCAGACCGCAGAGGGTTGTTGAAATTTCTTTATCACATACGTATAAAAAGATACGTTTCGATTCATATTTGTACGACTTCGTTAGAATTGAAAATGTCTTTTAATTATGCATATGAATATAATTTTGCACGTGAAAGGATCAAGGAATACTTGTTTCTGTTACTTTGTACCCTTACAGAGAGGTAACTGTGTAATTCAAAAAAAAAAAAAAAAAAAAGAAAAGAAAGAATTACAAACTGACGCACAAAGATCGTTTTTTCGTCTTGAAAATTATTAAAAGGAAAGGAAGCTAACTTTTTAATTGAGAAATTGAAAACGATGTATCAAGCCGTTATTTAAAATGAATTTAACGTGGAAGGGGAAAAAAGGGGAATTAATTAACCATCGAAAACGGTATGACGCAGATATTTCCCTGGGGGTCTAAAGTGTATTCTAAGAGATCGATACTTCGATGGACGATGAAAGCTGGCGCGATGTTTCCTTACCTGTAGAGCCTCGGCCTCGTCTCGCCTTTCGTCCTCCGTATTCATAGTGACAAATCTCAGCACCAATAAATTGAGGGAGGCGGCGACGATAGCCAAGCCGAACAAAATGAATATCAGGGCGAACATCACGTATTCCGGCTTGTTGTTCAGCGCGTTGTCCTTTTGTAGCGCGACCATGTCGCCGAAGCCGATGGTCGTCAGGGTGATGAAACAGTAGTAGATGGAGTCGAAGTACGACCACCCTTCGTACCGAGAGAACGCCGCGGCACCTCCCGCAATCGTTAAGCAAGATAAGGTCGTCACCACGCAGATAAGATTTATTTCTGAGGCCTGGAAATTACACAATGTCCGCCGTTGGCTTCGGCCTCTCTGATAAACGTACGCGTTTCAAAACGTTTCGCGGTACGTTCGTACATAGATATCGCGAGCCTTTATCACGAACGCGTGCTCGTTACAGTCTGGTTGTTCTTGCGAAATTTTGCTTTGTCGTGAAGAAGGAAATTCAAATAGATTAAATTAAGGGTTAAGCTGCCGTAAGTTTCGAAAATTAGACACACCTTGGAAATTTTCAGAAGGAAAACGAAAAGAATTCTTCCCTCAATCGTTCTACCGTTTAAATTTCGACTCCGTTGGGATCGAGCTCGAGTTCGGCGTAAAGTACAAGCGGAAGGACAGCGGAGTTTGTAATTTTTTTTTTTTTTTTACCTGGACATCCTTACAGTTAAGAAGCTTCTTTACGTTCCGTATAACGACGGACGAGAACTTATTCAGACGCTCTCCTATGCTCTGGAACATTACGAGTCCTAACGGGATACCGACGATCGCGTAGAACATCGTGAACAGTTTACCGCTTATGGTGTTCGGCGTCGAATGTCCGTAACCTGAAAGGCAATCGGCGAATACAGAGAGCATGATTCGATAAACGTAATAATCGAATTTGCATTGCACGCGCAAACAACGGAAATGGGATACATCGAAGAGGGGACGTTTAAACGAAATGCAATTTGGCGAAATAAAGTAGGAATGCGTTTGACGTTAATAAACATTTATTTAGACGGAAGCTTTAATATAACATTTAAAGCCCGTCGTCGCTATTCGTAATTTTCTCGTTTATTTCCATCTGATTGAGAATGAAAACGATTGGAGAACACAATCTGTCTATACTCGATGTCAATAAGGGAAAAGTTAATGGTAAATTCAAAGTAAATTCATTCAAATTCAAATTCAAATAGTCGATAATGCAACGAAGGTATAATACTTTAAATAATTAGATAGGATTCTTTTTGGAGCGGACACGTTAGATAGAATTTAGTTTGAGACTGAAACGTACCGATAGTGGTGAGGACCGTGATCGCGTAGTAAAACGCTCCGGCGAATTTCCACTGTTGACCGGCTTTGTGAGGTTCCGTCTTCAGCACCACTGTTTCCATGATCTTGAAGTCGTCCTCGCTTATATTGTACTTGCGTATAACCATCTTTTCAATGGCTGTCAACAAAAGACGAAAGACATTTATTTATTTATTTCCTTTCTCTTCCCCTCGTATCTTATCGCATTGTACTTTTCAATTGAATCGAGTTGTTGATACGTTCTCATTGATACTCGTTACTGATCCGCGAGTTAACAGAGCCTGTCAACCCTCCTGGTAAATGTAATTTCCGAAAGTGGCCGGTCGTTAGTCTATATATCGATCGACACAAGAAATGTACCGTCCAATGCTTCTTTGCGTCGTTTCTCCGTCTCGGACTCGAGAACGTCGAAGATTGCAGCGCCGACGAGGAGGTAGGTGAACGTGAAGACGATCAACGATAGGGTCCGGACGTTTTGCTTCTTCATTCTCTAGTGAGCCACATGCTCACTAGCAGGGCCCCGGCCCTAACTACTTGCATCGCTCAGTGGGGTACGATTTGGTGTGCCGGGCCCATGACGACCCCTTCTCCTTTTTGATGATGCTCGGGGGGGCCCTTCCTCTCTTTACCGAGCGCTACAGACCCGGCACGCGACTCCTTTTCTTCAGGGTGTCTTCTTCTTCCTTGCAGAGACTACCTTGTAGCCGCTTTCGTTCATCTGGAAAATGAACACGTGTACAAAACTGTCGGTAGACACTAGCCTTTTCAAGGCTAATTTCAACCACTTGCGCTGGCAACTGATTGCGGACCATAACGAGTGGCCAAACGCCGTGTACAATAATTCCGTCGCTTTCTTTTCGAACTCGTCGGTACGATATCGCTCGATAGAAATTATTTAGAAGTAATAAATTTATCATTTGTTTTGCCTAGTTTGTTTTCACTTAAAGCTGGGAAAATGTTACAATTTTCGAACAAAAAATTCTGGATTCCAGCGCAAGAGGTTAAGCAATTTTTTTCTTGAACTATTGGCTATAGAGAAGAATGTTTTACGTTGTTTCGAGGAAGATATCTTATAGTGACCATGAATCTTGTCCAAATGGTGATGCTTCCAGGATTTCAAGGTAACGTTCGTTTTTTTAAATAGAACTGTATGTTTTTGATTTCAAAATATTTTTTAAATACTGTGAGTTTCATTGAAAAAAAAAAAAAAAAAAGAAAAACAAAGGTCATCTTGAAATCTCTCGGAAGTTTTATTTGGAATATTTTTCTCTATAGCGAAAAGTTTAAGAGAAAATTACTTATAAGTAGTTAGTTCCATATGGGACACTCTGCATTTAACGTTCGAAGATAAAATAAGTTTAGCGTTTCATCTGAATTTGTTAGTAGATTGACTGTATTTTTCAAAGAGTGACATTTGTTGCCAATGCAATTGTTTTATTTGCGATCGAAAGTTACCCGTTCCACAGTTCCAGTTCGAAGATCATTCAAAAATCGAGTAAACATCCAGCCAAAGAACTCGAAATAAAACTTCATAGATAAAAATTCTGACTTCATTTCGCTGCAACGCAGAAATAGAAGCCCTTAAATTCTAAGACAAGATTATTTCGAGATAACTTCGAAAGACGCGAGGATATATATAGAATTTTTCTGCGAGTGACGATTTCCGAACAGCGATGGAACGTGGAACGATAAGCAAACGATAACGAGTGGACAAGCGCGAACGTGGCAAAGAGAGGTCGAAGTAGATAAAGAACTTCTTTCTCGCGTGAACTACCGGCTGTACTCTCGTACTGGTTTTCCATGTTCGAGAAGAGAGCATCTCTCTCTCTCTCTCTCTCTCTCTCTCTTTTCAAACGTTCTCTTGAACCGTTGGCCGCGGCACGACGTTAGGGGTTCCGAAGATATAAAAAGGCATAATCGTCCTTGCCGCTAAAACGGGGATTCTCTTTTGAGAATCGTCCTTTCTTTCGTACCGGTGAGTTCAGCCGAGAGATATCAGCCGTGAGGAGGGCAGGTGGAGCAAAAAATCTGCTGATATAGAAGAACTCACCTGCAGCCTGTTCCGGGTTCTCCTTTACGTACGACAAAGGGTTGAGCAGAATGATATGGCAGTGCTTTCGCTGCTCCCACTGCCACGTTCCCTCCATTCCTCAGCTTAGCGCCCGACGTTTTCAGTGCCGACTGAAACCGAGCCAATTACATTTTGCATAAGTTTCTGCCGACTCGCTTCTGCAAGGGTTGTGATCATCGTTTCAGTTAACTGGGGAGTTAATAGAGCCAACGATTTAATATAGGGATCAGAACGTTTTTGTTGAAAGTTGAATGATTCTCGATGCTCTAACGTTGTAGCTGTCTAACATGAGACGTGAGAATGGAGAACCGAAAGTAAAGTGAGTAAAACTAGAGAAGAAAGTAGAATGACAGAGGTGAAAAAGGGTTGCAAAGATAGAAAGGGAAGGAAGAGAATCAAAGCTTATCCTTTTAAACTTTTCAATCAACGAAATGACCCGAATTGATTCGAAATTTAATCTGTTCAGGCAGAGTTTCTTCGTTGAAGAAGAGGAAGACTTTGGCTGGCTCTAATTGCTAAATCCCCTTTGTTTATAACGCAACGTAAATACACCGATCCCTGTAATTCTCGCAAATTAGTTTCGCCACAGAGTAAAGGAATATTATTTTCTACCCAAGGCTAAAATTCAGCAGCGATACAACAACGTTTAACAACAGCTGCTTGTTCCTGGTATTGAAATCCGCTCTCGAGGATATAATTGTTTCGGGCATTCTCACGTTGCGTCGAACGAAAAACGAATCGTTTCAAAGACGAAAGACGGAAAGCACGCCATCTTCCTGTCACAATTATTTCTTTAAATGTCAAAAGACTGTGCCCCAGATGGGAAATCGAGCAAGAGTTACAAGTCGGTGCACCCTTAATCTGTTCCACGTCGGCATTTCCCGCTCGGCTCGCCGCGTTCTCTGCCCGCATCGGTTCCACGAACTCTCATCTTAATGGATATCGATTAACGACGTGAGAACGATACATCAAAGAATCATAACGTTGCCATGCAAGAGGTTAAGCAAGGGTAAAAATAAACGCGTGTGTCTCGCGCGATGAATAATGGCCGTGGCCGTGCCATCTTAGAGAAATTGTTCCAATTTTCTACAGAGCAATGTGCAATTTAATTGTACAATTTATTTGACATGTGAAAATATGTTAACAAGAAGGATTCGTTGAAACCTTGGTTTTCGAGAAAATTGAATGTTTGAAAATTGAAGTATATTTGAATTTAGGTAGTTCTAGACGTGGCAGAAAAGAATAATTGAGGTTCTTCTTCTACGCGCGAAAATAAATAAAAAACGTAAAGTAAGATTTTTCCAGTAAGATGCTCCGTTTAAATCGAGTTTAAAGATTTATCATTTTCTTGAATGAGAAAATTTTATTCTACATTTTTTATTTATTCTTGCGCGCAGAATATCCATTTATCCAACGTGGATAATTGGTCGAATTATAATTGATAAATTTTCAAATTGGATTCTTTCGGAAACGAAGGCTTTAATGAAAAAAATTTCGTTCTTCTGTTTCAACTCATTTCTGCACGTGGAATACACCATCTGTTCAATTGAGTCACGAGTCGCGGGACACCCTGTATATTTACGAATAAACAGAGAACCTTCAGCTTAACCTAATTTCATAATTAGAAGGAAACAGGACTTTAAATATTTATGGAATAATCTCACACTTTATGATATTTATATGCATTTACATGCTTAATTATTTCGTCATATAATGACATCCGCGTTAATTAAACTTTATCTAAAATTTCGCGAAATTTAACAGTCATGCGGTGAATCTCTTTTTCTTTTTCTTTTTTTTTTTTCCTTGGAAAAAAAAGGCATTCTCCACCGTATGCCGGTCGGTCCGATCATGCCGATTTGCCAATGGAAATTTCTAGGCTATCACGAATACATGAATAATGCATACTCCCGTGTTACAGGAGTCCGGCGTGTACTCATTATTGTTCCCTCAGCCTATTAAATCTGGATTTACGCTAATGGTCCGCGCTTTGTGATGAGAAGCACGTCACGTTTGTCAGCCACGATGAGCCACGTTTTACTTTGTGTCAACACCGTGTTTATCGGCGAAAGTCAACGCCGGACGTTCGCAGCATCATGTGCCGTTGTCACGTGTTTAATTATATTCCTCTTGTCCGCATCGTCATCTATCTTCTATCGTTCGGACCTGCGATATTTCGCGTCATAAACTTTTTCTCCCGAGATAGAGAGAGAGAGAGAGAGAGAGAGAGAAAAGTTTTTAGATCATTAACACGATTTTTATTTAATTTCGTCATTATTCTCTTCGTTACAGAAACAGAAGATCTAAAAATATTATTCTGAGACTTTCTTAATTTTAATGTTAAGATTAAAATTATAATTTTAATTTATTTTTATAATTTAAATTTATAATTAAGATTATAATTATAATTTTAATATTAATTTAATATTGAGATATATCCTTATTCTAAAACATGAATTATAATCTTTGGCCAACCAACTTTTAAGAAAGAAAATATTAAGAAGTTTTAACCAACTTTTAAGGAGATATTCGGAAATTTACTTTCGACGATAGTTTCGCCTGTCTATTCGCTCTTCAATCTTACTATCGGTGAAAACAATATGAAAAAAAAAAAAAAAAAAACAATTTTCACGTTATCAATCTTGCTGCAACGTTGCAGCCGGTGTAACGCAAGACGTTGTCAATCTCCGATGAAATGAAAATTGAACAGGTTGAGGGAACTTCGTCTATATGTCATGACTAAGGTTTTCAATCTTGGCTCATAGTGTCTCTTCAGCGGAGTGCTGTAAAAGAGCCCTTGGGATCTAGAAGCTCTTGATTACGCTATTTAGGATACGACCCGAGTCGCCAGTTTCCAATAAGTCCACTCGCGTCTTACAGAAACCCTTTGTGTTCGTTTTGGTTGCCGCTCAATTTACACATACTTAATATTTCCGTGATAATAAATCTTAAAACTCTTTGCGATAGACGTAATAATATTTAAAGTGCGAGTCAACGAGGTTTGCATTGTTGTATTCAGTGTATTTTTCTTTTTTTTGTTTCTTAAATTCGTTCCGAATAATAACTCGAAACTATTTTAGTATTTCTTCTTTATTCTTTTTTTGTCGCGAGATTGCGGGTTTTTGTGTAATTCATATCTTTCAAAATATAATTTTCAAGAACGTGTAATATCTTGATATAAATTGTAGAATATGTCGGTTTGAACGTGCAGTTTAAACAAAACTGAATTGGAATAAAATCGACGTCCCGTCAGGCGGGACACAGAATCGCCAAAGGATTAAAATAACACCGTCACGTTTAGAAATGGACGAAATGTACAGTCGGGTAAATGTTTAATCTTCTGCGGCGTTTTAATGAGATCCCTATTGCACTCCTTAATTATCCGGACGTATTGAAAGTATCAAGGGTTGAACTTAATCAAAGTTTATCGGGCCGAGCTTTTATCTCGAGGTATTTACTGTACGGGGGAAACGGTTAAACGAGAATTTCACGAACAAGCAGATAGCACCGAACAGGCCTGAGTAACTCTCTCGAGTTAAAATAAATGAAACGCAAGATGCAACGGCAATCCCCGGTGTTTAAATCGATTCCATTTCCTTTTCATGTAGTTAGCGGACGTGTACATTGCGCCACTGATACCTACTTTTCATCAGTGTCTTTCTCGATGCTCGTGTATGTCTCGTTCCAGCGCACGCGAATTAAAAATTTCGCGGGGAGAAAAGAATCAATGAATTGAAAATAACACGTGTAATTCATTGACTTGGACAAATTCCTTTGATTTCTTATCAATTATTTATTATTGAAATTACCAAAATTTTAGATACAGACTTTGGGAAAAATGTAATGTCCTTTTCAGTTTCTGAATTTTTCGTACTTACATAAGCAGCGAGATATAAAATATTCCATTTCATTTTGCAAGCATCAAACCTTCACCTTCCTTTTTCGTTTCATTTCACAAGTCATTTCAACTCCGCGAGCGCCGGGGCTAATTTTCTTCGATGGCGTCAATGTTATCTGAAATATTGATCCATCAATAGCTGGCTGGCGTTTCGAAATATCCGACAACGCGTTGTAAAACGCGCGAGGCTAAGGTGTATGTACGTATATTCTTGGAAAGTGACTGGCGTGGTTGTAAATTTTGTAACTGCATCCGCGAGGATGCACGAGAGACGAGCCCTGGTGGGAACCACCTGGCTCGGCAACTTCTAAGGTTAATTTTGCAAAGGACGATTCGTGATTGCTCGTATAATCCCGCCGCTGGCTAATTCGTTCCCCTGGCAGAATTTAGTCAGCTGGATTTCCGGTTAGGCGGCATGAAATCTCGGCTGCTTCATAAAATTTGTAACGGAGAACGGGCAGAGGCACACAGAAATTCATTCGCCGGGTTTCCATTTCGAATTAGTACTAATTCTCGTGTCCATCCTGTTTAAAATTGGCCCGGCGTCGAATTTGCATTCTGTTCTCGTCTATCGATCGAGACATTCTCTGTTTCTCTTTCTCATTTAAAAACTGTTCACTTAGAATTATGGTTGTTAAGTGTATTTTCTATGTGCGCTCAAAAGTTTCTACGAAGTTTAGAATTTTGAGCATCGGCGAAACTAAAGAATTTTCAAAGGGAAGGATCTGAAAAAAAATCCCTTGCCACGAATCTATCGAGGCAGAAGAAATTGCAAAATGTTGTCACGATAAATTAATTTTTATTAACTTGCCTAACAGGCATGCGAATTTTTTAATCTTTTATTCCAATCTTTTTTTTTTTTTTTAAAGAATGTTTTTATCGGATTTATTACAAGCTTTATTCGAGCTGCTCGTTATAATTTATTAGAGTTTCAGTCGTCATTGTCATTGAAGTATCACAGTGGGGGTTAGAATTGAAATCTTGTTATCACTAATGAGTTGAATTTCGCATCATATAACTAGGAATCAGTAGGGGCAGCCATCGAACAATGGCTGGATTTGCGGCCATCGTTTACACTGCAATTAGAATATTACAATTATACAACTGATGCGTAACGTCTGTACAAGCGGTGGGTGAAGTTAGTTTAACATAATCAGAGTTTCTATTTTAACGTTAAAAGTGCATTACCGTCCGCTCCAACTTTGAAACGAG